CCCCGAACCCACTTATGAGAGTCTTGATGGTATGGCTCATGCAACAAGAGCTCGTGCTAAACATCACCACCGGCCTGTCTGCAACCATCATTATAACCATTTCCATGTAAATACAGAAGAGTAACCTCATAACCATTTCTAATGTTATTAAAAATATTAATTTTAATCATTATTCTTAATATTTTAATTTTAATGATTTTTACTTTTAATTTAACTATTGAGTTGAAGTCAATTCGTAACATTAAACTCAACAAAAATATATATATACATGGATAATTAAAATACATTTTATATTATATTTTTTAATACAATTATATTTTAGATACTTAACATTATTATAAAATTTGAAACATGTTAAATAAAATTTTTGATGTTGACATAAAATGCTTGGAGAGCTTTATAACGTATTGACGGTTTATTTGATGTTGACATAAAATAGCTCCCCGCTTTATATAGGGGGCTCTCAAGATGCTCCGAAAATGGCACTAGTTAGTTAGAATTCATGCTGTCAACTGCTGGATCATGGTGGCCTAGGTATTCGTCCCCTTAAGATCCAAAATGAGGCATTTATTATTAAGCTTGGCTTTGATCTCCTGATGAGACTGAATACGTTATGGGCTCACATCGTCCGTGCCAAGTATAAAATTCAGCAGCGTGTACCTGAGCACATCGATCCTATTAGGGGGTCGTTCGTGTGAAAGTCCATCGCTCATGCTTGGAGTTGCATCCAGAATAACCTCAGCTGGTCCATAGGAGATGGTCGTACCACCAATTTCTGGTTCGACTCTTGGATCCCAGGAATGGACCCGATTGCTGATCATGTGGATCCCTCTCAAATCGTGTGTCCCCATGCCTAAGTTCGAGATTTAATTACTATGGAAGGCGACTGGAACGTCAACCTACTCCAACGAATTCTAGATACTGACATGATGCAGTTGGTGATCGGTATGCCTACCCTAAATGATGATCTCGGAGAGGATAAACCCTACTGGCGGTGGGAGCAAACCGGGAGGTGCCAGACAAGACGGCCTCGAAAGTCATTCAAAAACCATATTTGGAGGCCAAGCATAACCCGTGGAGCCTGGCTTGGGACTTTGATGGTCCTCAACGAGTCCGTCATTTCCTCTGGTTAATCCTTCGCCAAAGAATTATGACCAACACCGAACGGAATCGGCGAGGACTGGTGCAGGATCCAAATTGCCCGATATGTGGCGCTGGAGAAGAAACGATTTTCCGTGTCTTAAGAGACGCCACCCAAGCGAAAGCGATATGGGCGCCTTTGATTTCAACAGGGAAGATTTCCACCTTCTTCTCTAATCCCTTAATTGATTGTCTACGCACTAATTTAATCTCAAATGCAGGTTGCGAGAGAGAAGGATGGCACTGGAAACATTTGTTTGGCATTATTCTATGGCGCATCTGGAAGAACGGGAATGAATTCGTGTTCAGTGGGAAAATATGGAGTCCAGTCTCCTCAATCCAAACAACCAAAGCTTGGGCCATAGCTCTCAAAGATCGTCCCCAGTGGCCCTCCACAACCAAGGATAAAATGAAGAACATAAAATGGAAATGCCCGTCGCCCGGATTCCTAAAGCTCAACACTGACGGTGCTGTTAACACCTCAACGAAAGCAGCCTCCAGAGGTGGAGTCATCCGAGATGAGAACGGAACCTGGATTTGAGGATATACTAGGAACATCAGCTGTTGTTCTGTCGCCTCCAAGCCGAGCTCTAGGCAATCTTCGATGGTCTGCAAGTTGCCATGTCCTGTGAGGCCTACAAACTGGAGATCGAAACTGACAATTTGGAAATCATGCAGTGTCTTACGAGGCCATCGCTGCTTCATGAATCTGCTCTTCTCAGACGAATCCGTTGGCTCCTTAACAAGAATTGGCACACTACAATCTCGTACATCCCCAGAGGCGCTAACCAGCTGGCGAATAAGATGGCTCAAATCGGCCGAAATGGAAATAGGTGCTTGAATGTTTACCTAAAACCACCGCTTCAAGCACAGAGCATTTACTCGTCAGATATGCCTCCCTCAAGGAGAAGAAACCCACACTGATTGATTTAGAATGCATTTTGTAACAAAAAAATTACTAAATTACAGTTTATCTTTTATTTATTAGGGTAAAGCATACAAATGGTCACTTAACTTTTCAAATGCTTGTATTTAGGTCTCCTAACTTTTAAAACTTGCAATACAGTCACCAAACATTTAGTTTGTTTGCAATATGATCCCGACGTAACCGCCGTTTCACTGCCATTAGGGTAAATTATATAAATGGTCACTGAACATGCATTTAGGCCCCCCAACTTTTAAAACTTGCAACACAGTCATCAATTATATTCTAAACCCTAAATTCCAAAATATTTCAAATATATTCTAAACCTCAAATTCAAAAATACTTCAATTACATGCCCAATCCCAAATTCATAATCCATTCTAAAAATCTGTCATAACAAATTGAACTTGAAGCAGCAACCCTAAACTCTCAAAACATAACCATTTCGAAAAAATGTAACTAACTATAAGTGAACAATAAGTGATTATGTCGGGTTTAGGGTTATATTGGCCCTAAATACTCAATTCAATTTATAAAATAATTGACTCGAAATTTTTTCGATTTGAGTTTATAAAATTTAAATCAAGTCAAATTGAATTGAATTTTCGAGTTTCTGTTTAAATTTAATTATAAATATTTATCATATTATAATATTATTTGATTCCAATTCAGTTTAGTTTATAAAATAGCTGACTCGAATTTTTTCGATTTGAGTTTATAAAATTTAAATCAAGTTGAATTGAATTTTTCAAGTTTCTGTTTAAATTTAATTATAAATATTTATAATATATATTATTTGATTCTAATTTAATAGTTTTTTTAATCATATACAATACATATATTTCTTCATATTTTTTCCATATGCGGTATACATATATTATATAGAGTCAATAGACTTGACTCAAACTTAAAAATTAATCCACTAATTACTAAAAAAATTAGATATTCGAGTTGTATTTTACAACTCGATTTTAGCTTGAAATTTTTTTAAGTTGAGTTTATGAAATTACAATTCAAAGTCAATTTGTATCAAATTCTTTGAATCAATTCAAGTCGAAAAATTATTTTTTCGAATCGAATTGAGTATTGTTCACTTTTAGTTGGTTAAATCTAACTTTTAAATCTTAAACCCAACATAATCACTTATTGTTATGGACCCAAAATGAACTAAATATTGTTGATTATGTTGGGTTAATTGGGGGGAAATTTAGCATTTAGGGTTATGTTTTGAGGGTTTAGGGTTACTGCTTCAAGTTTAGTTTGTTATGGTAGATTTTGAGAATGAATTATGAATTTGGGGTTGGGCATGTAATTGAAGTATTTTGGAATTTGAGGTTTAGAATGTAATTGAAGTATTTTGGAATTTGGGGTTTAGAATATAATTGATGAATGTGTTGTAAGTTTTAAAAGTTGAGGGACCTAAATGCAAGCGTCTAAAAAGTTCAGTGACCATTTATATAATTTACCGTCACAACAGTGAAATGGTCGTTACGTCGGGGACCATATTGCAAAAGAATTGAATGTTTGGTGACTGTATTACAAGTTTTAAAAGTCGGAGGACCTAACTACAAGCATTTGAAAAGTTCAGTGACCATATGTATACTTTACCCTATTTATTATCTTTTATTTTTATGAAAACTTTATAGTAACTTGTAATCTAATATTTTTGGGTAAACCATACATTTAGGGTCATTCACGTATTCATGTCTTTCATTTTAGTCATCTAATTACTTTTTCTCAAATCATACATAATAACGTTTATGTTTCATTTTAATCATCAACTGTTAAAAAATAAACATAATTGTTGATGCAGTAGTTTTTTTTATTTTTTTAATGATAAAATAATATTACTATAATGATGAAATGTCAGCATTATCATTAGTTTTTAACAACATATGATCAAAATGAAATCAAAAGGTGATGTTATATATATTTTTGAAAAAAATAATTGGATAATCAAAACAAAAATTGTAGAAATTGGTGGGTGTCTAAATACATACTTTACCCTAATCTTTTTACATAATTTATAGGTAAACTACACGAATGGTCACTAATGTTTGAGTAAGTTTCCTTTTTCCCACTGAAGTTTCAAAAGTAACAAATTAGTCACCCACGTTATCGTTATAACAAAATGGTCACTCCATCGTTATCCCTGTTAAATCGATGACGTGGAGCCGTTAGTAAATATGTTAATGTTTAGTTATACCCTTAAACTATTGCTAAAACAAATAAGTCCTTAAATAATAATCTTATATCTAATTTATCCCAAAGCTTTCTAATTTTCATTTTTTAAAACACCCCACTATCTCAATTATATTTTAAAAACTTTCCTTACAAAACAAAATCACATTTAAACAAACTCTTTTTTGTCTTTAAATATTCTAACCACTTCCCTTATAAAATTAAACTCATCCCAAAAGCATTATTTTTTATATTAAAATTAATTGAATATAGGGTCTTAAATACTCATGTATGTCTTTAATGGAATAACTTTGTTTATCTATGCAACAAGATTTTCATTTTGTAAGGAAGGTGGTTTGAATATAGTTGTGGTGGTGGGGTGTTTGAAAAAACTATAAATTAAGCTTTTGGGATAAATTAGGTATAAATCATTGTTTAAGAACTTATGATGTTTTAGCATAGTTTAGGGGTAAAACTAAATATTAACTTTTTTATTAACATTGTCAAATCATCAATTTAACATATATAACAGTGGAGTGACTATTTTTGTTACAAATCAATAACATTAGTGATCATTTTGTTATAAATCAATAATATTAGTGACCAATTTATTACTTTTGAAACTTCAGTTGGGAAAACATAAACATACTCAAACATTAGTCCATTGGTGTAGTTTACCCTAATTTATAACAAACTTATTTTTTGTTGCCTTAAATTACCCAACTTTTATAGACACGACACGGGTTAGCTAACTTAGCTTATTCTATATTTTTTCCCTTAATTTCAGAAACAAAGAAAAAAGGTAAAAGAGGGAAAATTATATTTTGTTCTTTCTCTGTACTCCAATTGTAACCAATGTCAGCAGACTCTGTAATTGCGCTTCAGAAGCAAGATTTCGGGAAACTCGAGCATGGGTATCTTCTCTTTTCTCTCTTTCTATTGTTTCCTTAGTTTGTTTGGCTTTTTTTTTCAATTTGGTAAATGCTCTTTGTTTTTGTTTAGATGCGATCACTATAAGAGACGGTGTAAAATCCTTGCTCCTTGCTGTAATAAGATTTTCCCTTGCCGCCATTGCCACAACGAAACCTCTGTAGTCTCTTTTTCCTTTTCCATAAATCTTTAGCATCTGTTAATATTTTTGATTGCCTGTCTTGATTATTTAAATTTATTAATCTTCTTGTTTTTGATTGCTTAGTGTTTAGTGATTTATTTATTTGTTTGTTTGTTTTAGAACTCACTTAGCAACCCAAAAGATCATCACGACCTTGTCAGGCAGGATGTCAAGCAAGTATGTTTTATTTGACAATCTCCTCTCCTCTTATAACAGTAAATGGCACCTTTTTTTCTCTTGAAAAGGGGAAAACATTTTTTTTATAATGGGGTGGAATTGATTTGTGTCAGGTTATTTGTTCAATTTGCAATACCCAACAGGAGGTATGCCTTGTTGCATCTAATTGTCTAGAAGTTACTGTAAACATCTCAACTCTGAAGTTCATCTTTTTAATGTTCTAGGTTGCTGAAGTTTGTGCCCATTGTGGGGTGACTATGGGAGAATATTTCTGCAATATATGCAAATTCTATGATGATGATGTAGATCATTGCATGTTTTTCTTTTTCTTTTTTAATTCCATTCCACTTAAAATCATGCTGAGTTTATGTTATGGTTGTTGCAGACATCAAAGGGACAGTTCCATTGTAACGATTGTGGAATTTGTAGGTTAGTTTAGTATGTTGTGTCCAATTTACTTAAAGTTTTAAGACCCCATTCTGCAATTTTTTTTTAAGAAAAAGTAGGGGTAAAAAGTGCTTTTGAGGCTAGAAGCAATTGTCACCCCTAGAACCTCAAACTAGCAAACGTGGCGATTGATATCAGAGCGAGTTGAGGGAACTTGCTATCGCACCAGCTTGCATTATCTGATGAGTTTCTGTGTGTTTTGCATTCGAGCTAGTTGTGGTGGTGATCGAGCTAGTTCGTGGCAAAGCAAGAATCGAGATTCTAGAGGCGTGACACAATGTAGAACATGTAGCTTCGTTTTCTGGCCAAAAGTGCTTTTCAATTTGATTTGAAAAGTTGAAAATTCTAGCTTTTAGCTTTACCCAAAGCACTTCTGAGCAAACATACTCATTTGTATTACCATTTCTTTTATACTTTCAAAAGTAATGTCTAAACAGATGTTTTATCTACTTAAAAGTACTTTTTAAAAGCAATCTCAAACACCTTTTTTAAACCAAATAACCCACAAGCACTTTCCACCGCACTTTCTAATCAGTTGTTTTTGTGGCTTGTCTTCTTCTTATGCCTTGACAACTACTGTTCCAATCTAATCTGTACCGTGGTTTATAGGGTTGGTGGTCGTGACAACTTCTTTCACTGTGAGAAATGTGGTAGGCAGTTTTATTACTATTCTTGCTTCTCTTCTGATTTAGTTTTATAGACAGTTTCTGTATACAATCATGTCGAGTTTCGAATTAAACTTGTTACTGGGCACAGAATGCTACTCTTATAATCAGAAAAGCAAAGAAAAACATGAAAAGGATAGCTGAATTACAAGTTAAAAGTGGTTTTCTATAATTTTTAGTCTTAAAGGCAGTTTCTGTATACAATCATGTCGAGTTTTCGTTTTTCCTATATTGCATTTTACTTTATGATGTTATCGTTGGCACAGGTTCTTGTTATATGGTGGATCTGCGTGACAATCACCATTGTGTAGAGAACTCCATGAAGGCACACTGCCCCATATGTTATGAGGTTTGTGCTTCAAAAGTTTGACTATTCTTCAGTTTGCTCAGATTTCATGAAATTTGTTGTTTAAGACCTTTTTTCTATGCGTCCGTATCTTTTTGACTCAGTTAAAAGCATACGCATTATGGAGTGTGGACATACTACATAGGGACTGCTTTTCCTCAGATGCTATGCAAAATCAGTAAATTCAGATTACTTTCTAATCGCTTAGTTATTTTAGTTTCACTTCTTTTTTATGAATAGTTAACATCTATTGGTTTTGTTCTTACTACAGGTATCGATGTCCCATCTGTAGCAAGGCAGTACTTGATATGACTTCTTTTTGGGAATATCTGGATATGGATGTATAAACCTTCTTTTGATCATTTTATTGTACATTTTCTACTAGACCTCGGTGTTTCACTTGTTAGCAACATTTGTTCGTTTGTTGGATTTAGTTTTTGATTTCAGGCAAAAGCACATATTAAAATGATTTTGCTGTAGAAGTTCTTATGTACTACTTTTAGGATTAACTGTGTTACTGTTTTGATCATTTTAGCATGTCGTTAATTTGTAATCTTTTCTTTAATTACAGATTGGTGCTACTCAAATGCCTGTGGAGTATCAGTTGAGGTGGTAAACTATATACTTCCTCTTTTAGTTTGCCTGCAGCATTCATGCTGTTATAATTGTTGCATCACTTGAATATACATAATACAAAATTTTGCAAGTTTCGGTCTCATTTAAAGATTGCATTTTAGTTGGACGATTTCATTGCCTCTTGAATGTATCCGTTTCTTGGGGATTTATCAGAACAGATATGCGTTGCTTTTTGTAACTTTCTTATTTCAGATGGCAGGGAGTCTTTCTTTTTTTAAGGATGTTAACAAATGAAAAGACTAGGGAGACTCTCTTCATATGAACTTATCTTTTTCCAAATGAAAGGGTTTTATGCTATGGTTTTTAGTTCTGTTCCTACACAGCTGCTTTCGTGGTGCCACGTGCAGGGACGGAACTAAGATAGGATAGTGTTAGAGACCAAATTGCCAAGGGACCTAGAAATTTTAAGCCAAAATTGAGGGGAACTAAGATAGGATAGTGTTAGAGACCAAATTGCCAAGGGACCTAGAAAGTATTTAAGCCAAAATTGGAGGGGGACAAAAGGCTTATTTTGCTTAAGATTTAAACTGATAGGGACCCAAAGGTGGATTAAACCAAAAAATAGAGGGGCCAATATTTGTCATCATTCTCGAGCATGGTTGTCAAGCCAATGGTATAGGTTTGTAGTTAAAACAATGTTCGGTCGAGTATTTGCACATTGATGAATGTTTTTTTTTAAGCCAATGGTATAGGTTTGTAGTTAAAACAATGTTCGGTCGAGTATTTGCACATTGATGAATGTTTTTTTTTTTCATGCAGGTTTCGATCCTTTGCAATGACTGCAACAGTACAAGCACAGTCCAGTTTCACATTCTTGGTCTCAAGTGCAGGCAATGCAATTCTTATAACACCCGCCGGATTGCAACGCCGGCCAATGACTGAGATACATACTGAAGTTGTAATAGATTCGTGATGCATATTCGACACTCTTTTATGCAAAACCCTCTTACCATTATCAAACTTCTTTGTTCAGTTGTATGTATGTATCTGCTTTCATTGTTTATTTCGGCTACTTTTGATGTAGGATCAGTTTGATATAATTTTTAAGTCAATTAAATACCAATATTTACTCCATATATTGTGTTAGCACGTCACATACATTCGAAATACCACGATAATAATAAAAAAACATTAAACCATGTTATTTTAAGACATCGACATACAAGCATCTTAGTATTACCTCATACACTAATATACCTTTGTCTTCGGCATAAGAGGTTTGTTGGATTGCAAGCTCGTTTAGGATCACATCAATCATAACAAAATACTTCTATGATATTATTTTTTTAGCACGATACAATAAATATTTTATTTCTCGTGTTTATATATGTATTTATTTTATTAATTAATATTAAAATATTGTTTTAAATACATCACTCAATCTAAATCTTATTATAAACGTGCCAATTCATTATCAAAATGGAAACAAACGTCTAATGTGGCCTAATACAATAACATTATTAGTCCCTACATGTCAATAATTTCAATTTTGTCTTAACTCGAAATAATTCATTAAATTAATCCTTTATATTAAAAATTCTATCGGTTTAGTCTTTTTGTAATATTTTCAAACCATACGAGCCAATCAGATCAAAGAAGTTGTTGGATAATTACGTTTTGTTAGAAAGCAACAACATGTTACTGTTAAATTGTTGTTATATAAAAAAAGTAACATAACATTTTGGAAGAAGATTAAATGTTAAAAATGATTAAATTTTCAAATATCAAATGTTAAATTTATTAAATTATTTTTAATTAGGACTAAATTTATAGACTACAACTTTTAAGGACTAAAAATATTTTATCCAGCCACTTCAATATTTCATTTTGATAAACGGTAGTTTATGTGCACATCCAATTAATTCTCAAATAAAAAATAAATTAATTGATTAAAACACTATTAAATCTACCGTGTTTAATCTTAATTATATCTATGATCACAAGATGACATGTTATAATGATGGAGTTAAACCTACCTTAAAATAAATGAACGACTTTATTAGCTAGTGGGAAAAGGGTATAACATAATGATGTACACTTGGCATTGAAAAAAAGAGAAGAAGAAGAAGAAGAAGCAAAAACAAATGTGAATGGACTTAATTTGGAAAATGCCTTTGAAGCAGGTAAAGCAAATACAGCTACATGACAAGGTAAAGCCAGAAACCAATACAGTTACACAATGGGCAAAATGAAGAGATCAAAGGCAAAAGCTATGAAATATAAAACGCCCACATAAAGTACACACCTCATCAATATATAACATTCTCTGCAAATAAAAATATATAAGCTAAGAGAAAGAGCTTCACATCAACAAAATGGCGATAGGCATCCATGATCATAGCTTCTCTTTTGCTTTGGCCTATAATTACTTCTTTTCAAAAACTAAGTCCATATGTACTTTTTCCCCTTATACTGTCAATTATTTTGTGCAGGATATGTATTGCCATTCTTTGTTTATCTTGCCCCAATGTAAGTTTGCTTCTACTTCTCAAGCTTTGGGAATATGATTATATGAATGTGTTTTAAGACTAGAACAGTGTTTCTTTCTTTTGATGGAATTTAAACAAACACGAACCGAACATGAATAATTTAAAAAATAAATAAACGAGCACAAACACAATCTTATCTATTGATTAAAAATAAATAAACGAGCACAAACACAATCTTTTTTTATCGAAGTAAGGTTAATATCGTAATAAATTGATGTTGAATGTCTTTTCATTGAACTGGATAGAATGGTACCATGATGTGGATTTCTTATTATGACGTTAAAATCATTACACATTTTTGTAATTGGCCTGTCAACTTGATCAGCTTATTGAGCCAACCCATAGTGGGAGCATAATGACATACCGCGAACCGCAGACACTTCAACAACTGTAGCATATATCTGTGTATCAACGTCTGAATTTTGATTCTGATAATCAACCATCATAGCAACATCGTAATCGTTGGAGAGTTCGAACATTGTATAAGTTAACGGAAATGTCTCTATTAGAAATTTGTACTGAAGTGAGGACAATCTTCTAGTACTTCCAACATGAACATTTCTTGAAATTTTAGTGATCAACTCCTCAAGAATGATGTTTCTCTTGAATGGTATTCTGAGAGAAATATTTGATACGAAGACAACGTCTGTTTCATCTTTCTTAATTTCTCCATCATAGTAAACAATAGCTAAAATACGCCTCATTTTTAGAGTTTTAAAATTTGAAAGGTTGAAAGTCTTATATCTGCAAAAACAATAGAAACAATAGATTAAATACATCTAATTAAATAAATAATATATGAACTTAAAAATTAACTAATGCTAAAACATTTAAAAAAATTACAGTAAATTTAATAACACAATTTAACATTGTTATCGTCTCGGGAAAATATCTCGAGATTTGATTATGCCTTCCATTTTATACCCGTACAAAATAAAACAAAATCGTTAGTACAAAAAAATTAATCCAATAATTAAATTTAAAATAACAATAATATAATAAAAATAATTTTACCCTTTAAGAGCTATAACAAAATCTACTTAGTTTGATAGAGGAAAATTATAGAAGAATGAAATTAAATTAAATTTTGGTGTGGTTTTAGGTTTATTAAAGATGCTATTTATAATGTAGGGGTGAGTGATTCGTAGGGTTCGGGTAATAATGAAGTATCCAATAATTCAAGGAAATAATGGAAGACGCGGATGGTGATTCGTGCCTTCGTCGCGTGTCAGAACCTCAAGAAGGCGTAGATGATGATCCGCGCTTTACCCCTATTTGACGTCAGCTCGGACGAAGTGACGCAGAATTAATTAATGATGAATAATTATTATATTCTACCTTAGTTACTCCATACTCCAAAATTCCGTGTGCCCAATGCCCATTTTTCACTATCACTAATAACAAGAGTTTCACCCAAATCTCACATCTTTATCGTTTACATTTGTTTTAATGAATCCGGTTTGAAATTTATGGCAAGATTATGATTTTAGTCCCTAAATTATGCTTAAATTTTAATTTTAGTCTTCATATTTGTTATATGTTCTTAGTCTCCATGTTTAATTGGGATGACAGACGAGTATAATTTCGTGAATTTCAGACCGCACCCGCTTCAATTGAGGCCGGGATTAATACAAGTTTAGTGAGTAGTGGGCAAGTATGCATATAAAAAATCATACTCACTGTGGGTAGTGGGTAGGTGATGGATTTAAGACCTTACTCGCTCTGTATCCGTCCGCTCAGTAATGGCCCACCATATAAATTTTGGACCATTATGAATTTAGGTATAATTTTAGAGACTATTCTATAAATCATAAGATTTTATAGGACATGACTTGTAACTTAATCAAATGTTAGTTATAAACTCAATTAATCCTTGATTTATTTTATTATGTTTATTAATAGATGTGTTTGTTTTATATTTTGTTGTTTATGTAATCTGTGAAGTTGTTGTCATGTGGGTATGAACGGATACAAGCATGTACGAGATAGATGGTGGGTATCTAATTAGAGAGTGAGTATAGGGTGAATTTGAGAATATATATGCGTGGATTGGTGTAAATTTAAAATTTTTATCCGTAATGACTGATAAGTAAGTGATTAATATAAAAATATTAGGTGGATATATGGATGAGAGAAAGGGTATCCACACCTTCCCCGACTGTTTTCCATCCTTACTATTTAATTAATCAGTACAAACTAATCGACATCGATGATAAAAGAATTATTGTTATTCTTTGATATCTCAAGTTCAAACACTAGGAATGTCAGATTGTGAACTTTCAATGTTATATAATTAAGAATTATCTTTGTACATATAGTGATTTCTACCTACCCGGTAAATAAAAAATTAAACATAAATTTCTCCACTTTTATGACGTCATTACATAGGCCAAATAGCTAATACCCATGAGATGTAATTTTTTTTCTAGAAAGAACCAATTTGTTATCTTTGATATTGTTTTCCTAAAATAAATTTCGAAATAAGTATTTTTAAGAAGAATACATAATCAGCATTTTAACCCTTACCAGTTATCAAATTTAAACTTTAAACAAAGAATATCCCATTTTTTTTTAAAAAAATATTATTGATATTAAAATTTCAGTCCCTGTTCAATTTGAAAAGGAGTGGACGTAAACCAATGTCACTGAATCTATCACGTGGCGCAACAGTCGAGGCTCCCCTAACAAAACAAATACTAATCAGCTGAAAGTTACCACACATTATTGTCAGTAACTAAAGGGACCACCTTCCACTTGCCCGCCTTGTTTCTCTGTCTCAGTAAAATTCCAATTCAGATGAGCGTAAATCTTTACTGTTGGATTGCTTCATCATCATCAACTTTATATATTTATATATACACTTTTCAAAAAAGTTTTCAAGATTGCAGTGACTCATGCTGAAACAAAGCACCAAGAAAATTGGAGGGGCTCATCTTTTAGCAGAGAATGGCAGCCTGAAACCAAAGAGACTAATGGTTATGAAAACTTGGAGAATACATTAGCATGCATCGTAAAGTTCCGAATATTTTAGATGCAGGCAGACCCCAACCATTTAAACGATGAGAGCCGCAACTTTTATTACTCCACAAGTATAACAATGGCACCATTTTAAGTCCACGAGATAATTATACCCCAAAAAATTGGTAATACAAACGCATAATAAACATCCTAAATTATGCAAGATGGGTAACCATTGGGAAACAAATAAAACCTTCGATCGATCCACCACCACCTGTGCTTCCGTGTCTTTATTAATCATTACTCAGTACTCGATAGCTCAGCCAAGAGTGAAATGAATGGCAAACACACCTCATCCTTTGTACAGCCTCCATACTTATCTTCCCATTCCAATCAGGTCTGCAATTATATCAAGCTGCGTAAAGTTAAAGCGGGAGCGATGAGTGACACAAGGGGCATGTACCTGGTACATTCACTCTCGAGTTTGAATGAGCTGTGAATATACGTGATTCACGGGAGATTTCTCAAGAAAGCTGCAATGAAGGATCGTCTTCCATCGTACAAACAAAAGGAGGCATGTCAAACCTTGGCCCCGCAAGGGTTCTATATGTAGATTTATCAACCGGG